TGTTCTTTTTCCTTAGGATTGCTTTGGCTATTTGGGGTCTTTTGTTGCCCCACATGAATGTTAGTATTCTTTTTTCTATTTCCATGAAGAATGTCATTGGGATTCTGATTGGGATTGCATTGAATCTGTAGATTGCTTTAGGTAATATAGACATTTTAACTATGTTTATTCTTCCAATCCATGTTCATGAGATATCTTTCCATTTCTTTGTGTCATTATCAATTTCTTACAAAAATGTCTTGTAGTTTTCATTGTATAGGTCTTTAACCTCCTTGGTAAGATTTATTCCTAGATATTTTATTCTTTTTGATGCAATTGTAAACGGTATTATCATTTTGAGCTCTCTTTCTGTTAGTTCGTTATTAGCATACAGAAACGCAACTGATTTTTGTAGATTGATTTTGTACCCTGCAACTTTGCTGTAGTTTTTGATTATTTCTAATAGTTTTCCAATGGATTCTCTAGGGTTTTCTATATATAAAAATCATGCCATCTGCAAATAGTGAGAGTTTCACTTCTTCATTGCCTATTTGGATTCCTTTTATTCCTTCTTCTTGCCTAATTGCTCTGGCCAAAACCTCCAGTACTATGTTGAACAGGAGTGGTGAGAGTGGGCAGACTTGTCTCATTCCTGTTCTCAGAGGAATGGCTTTCAGACTTCCCCATTGAGTATGATGTTGGCTGTGGGTTTGTCATAACTAGCCTTTATTATGTTGAGGTACTTTCCTTCTACACCCATTTTGTTGAGAGTTTTTATCATAAATGGATGTTGTATCTTGTCAAATGCATTATCTGCATCTATTGAGATGACGATGTGGTTTTTATTCTTTGTTTTGTTGATGTGGTGTATCACATTGATTGATATGCAGATGTTGAACCATCCCTCTGTCCCTGGTATAAATCCCACTTGATCACAGTATGTGATTTTTTTTAATGTATTGCTGTATTTGGTTTGCAGATATTTTGTTGAGGATTTTTGCATCTATGTTCATCAGTGATATTGGCCTGTAATTTTCCTTTTTTGTATTGTCTTTGTCTGGCTTTGGTATCAGGGTGATGTTGACCTCGTAGAATGATTTAGGAAGTGTTCTTTCTTCCTCTATTTTTGGGAATAGTTTGAGAAGGATGGGTGTTAGATCTTCTTTGAATGTTTGCTAAAATTCACTGGAGAAGCCATCTGGCCTTGTACTTTATTTTTTGCGAGGGTTTTGATTACTATTTCAATTTCTTTACTTGTGATTGGTCTATTCAGATTCTCAACTTCTTCTTGGTTCCGTTTTGGGAGGTTGTATGAATCCAATAATTTTTCCATTTCTTCTGGATTTCCAATTTATTGGCATGTAGATTCTCATAGTTTTCTTTTATAATCCTTTGTATTTCCGTGGTATCCGTTGTAATTTCTCCTCTTTCATTTCTAATTTTATTTATTTGTGCCTTTTATCTTTTTTTCTTAGTAAGTCTGGCTAAGGATTTCTCTATTTTGTTTATCTTCTCAAAGAACCAACTCTTTGTTTCATTAATCATTTCTACTTTTTTTTGGTATCAATTTCACTTATTTCTTCTCTAATTTTTATTTTTCTCTCCTTCTGCTGACTTTGGGCTTTGTTTGTTCTTCTTTTTCTAGTTCTGTTACGTATAATTTGAGTTTGCTTATTTGGGCTTTTCCTTGATTGTTGAGGTGGGCCTGATTGCTATGAATTTCCCTCTCGGACTGCTTTTGCTGCACCCCATATGAGTTGGTATAGTGTGTTTTCATTTTCGCTTGTTTCCAGATAGTTTTTGATTTCTCCTTTAATTTCCTCAATGATCCATTGGTTCTTCAGTAGCATGTTGTTTAATCTCCACATTTTTGTCACTTTCCCAGTTTTTTTCTTGTGGTTGATTTCCAGTTTCATAGCATTATGAAAAAATGTTTGTTATGATTTCAATCTTCTTAAATTAATTGAGGCTTGCTTTGTTTCCCAACATATGGTCTAACCTTGAGAATATTCTGTGTGTGCTTGAGAAGAATGTGTAGTCAGCTGTTTTTGGATGGAGTGCTGTGTATATGTCTGCTAGGTCCATCTTGTCCAGTTTTTCATTTAAGTCCATTGTTTCTTTATTGACTTTTTGTCTGGATGATCTATCCGTTGACGTAAGTGGGGTATTAAGATCCCCTACTATTATTGCGCTGTTGTTAATATCTCCTTTTAGGTTTGTTAATAGATGCTTTACGTACTTTGGTGCTCCTATGTTGGGTGCATATATATTTATAAGTGATATGTCTTCTTGGTGGATTGTCCCTTTTATCATTATATATTGCCCTTCTTTGTCTCTCTTAACCTCTTTTATCTTGAAGTCTACTTTATCTGATATGAGTATGGCAACACCTGCTTTCTTTTGTTTGCCATTAGCTTGGAGTATTGTATTCCATCCTTTCACTCTGAGTCTGTGTTTGTCTTTAGAGCTGAGGTGTGCTTCCTGGAGGCAGAATATTGTTGGGTCTTGCTTTTTAATGCATCCTGCCACTCTGTGTCTTTTGATTGCAGCGTTCAATCTATTTACATTTAGAGTAATTATTGATATATGAGGGCTTAATGTTGCTGTTTTATCACTTATTTTCCAGTTCTTTTGCATTTCCTTTTTTTCTTGTCCCATATATTTCAGACTGCCAGTTCAGTTTGGTTGTTCTGTCTTATGACTCTTTTAGTTTTCTCATTATTTATCATATATGATTTTATTCTGATTATTTGTTTAGTGGTTACCTTGAGGTTTCTATGAAAAATCTTCTGTGAGATAGTCCATTATCTGATGGCCTCTTATTTTCTTATAATAAGTCAATTCGATCTCTTTCTTCTTCCCCTTCTAAGTTATTCTTATCACAACTTACTCCAACTTGTGTTCTGGGTGTGTATTTAAAGCAATGAGGTTATATTTGTTTTTGGTGATTTCCTTCCTTTGATCTTTGATTTGCTACTTAAGTGATTGTTAACCTATTTCTGTGAAGATCTACTATTTTTCTGATTTTGTCTACCTACTTGTCTCCTTGCTCCAAGCTTTGTATTCCCTTTCTCTCCTTTTTTTTCAGGCCTGAGGGCCTTCTTGAGCATTTCTTGTAGTGGGGGTCTCGTGGCCATGAACTCCCTGAGCTTTTGTTTATCTATGAAAATTATTATTTGTCCACCATATTTGAAGGATATTTTCGCTGGATAGAGTATTCTCGGCTGAAGGTTTTTGTCTTTCAGTATTTTGAATATATCATTCCAGTCTCTTCTAGCCTGTAAAGTTTCTGTTGAGAAATCCGCTGAGAGACTGATGGGAGTTCCTTTGTATGTTATTCTTTGTTTTTGTCTAGCTGCCCTTAATATTGTTTCTTCATCATTGACCTTTGCCAGTTTTATTACTATATGCCTTAGAGTGGGCCTTTGCCTGTTGACATATTCAGGCGACCTATTGGCTTCACTTACTGGTATTTCCTGCTCCTTTCCCAGGTTTGGGAAGTTCTCAGCTATTATTTCCTTGAATAGGCTCTCTGTTCCTCTTTCCCTCTCTTCTCCCTCAGGAATACCTGTAATTCTTATGTTACATTTCCTAGTTGAGTCGAATATTTTTCAGAGGCTTTCTTCATTTCTTTTTAGTCTTAGTTCTCTCTCCTCCTCCGTCTGGATCATATCTGTATTCCTATCCTTTATAATGCTAATTCTTTCCTCCATATTGTCAGCTCTGTTCTTTAAAGATTCCGTATTCTCCTTTATCTCCTCCATTGTGTTCTTCATTTCCATCAATACTGATTGGTTTTTCTTTATGATTTCAATCTCTTTTGTGAAGAAACTCCTTATCTCATTGAATTGTTTGTCTGTGTTTTCTTGTATTTCATTGAGCTTTTTTATGATAGCTATTTTAAATTCTCTGTTGTTTAGGTTATGGATTTGTGTGACTTCAGGCTTGATTTCTGGGTGCTTGTCATTTTTCTTCTGGTCTGGCGATTTAATGTACTTTTGCATAGTGGTTGCTGTATTGGCTTTGTTTTTCCTCATCCTGGAAATATCTGGTTGCAGTTTCCACCTGCTGTCACCATGTGGGTCTTAAGGGCTGTGTAATCTGAGCCCCCTATTCTCCGCTGCAGCTGCTCTGCTGCTGCCATGGGCCGCCTGCGCTCCCCCTCAGCCACTCCGTTACTGCGAGCTTCCAGCACTCTGCAGGGGCTGCTCGGACTGGTTGGCTGAGCTGCAGTCTTGGGAATGTGGTGGGTAGAAGGGCTCTCTCTTTTGCCCGCTGGGTCTCTGGGTAGGGGGTCTTCTCACTTGCCCCTCGTTATCCACTCTCCTGGGGTGCTCAAATGTTGATGGCACCCTTGCAGTAGTCCTGAGTCCTCTGTGTGGGAGTTTCCCACTGGCTGAGAGATCCTGAAGAGCTACAGTTTCCCCGCAGAGGGCCACCCTTCCCCTCTCTTTGGGAGCTGCACAATCGAGTCACCAATCTGATGGGGAGGGAAAGGATTTCTCCTTACCTCTCCCCACTTCCTCTGGGGGCCCCTGCACGTCCACTCTCAGATGTGTGGCAGTGTGAGTCTGTCTGATATCCCTTCGTGCAGTGTGAGTGTCTCCTGTTGGTCTATGATTGACCCTTTTGTTGTATCTTGTCAGGGAAAGAGTTTACTGGAAATCTCACTCCGCCATGATGCTGACGTCACTCTCTCTCCTGCCCATTTTTTTGATCAGATTGTTTGCTTTTTGTTGTTGTTGAGCTATAGGAGTTCTTTATATATTTTGGAAATTAACCCCTGGCTAGAGATATGATTTTCAAATATTTTCTCCCAGTTGATGGGTTGTCTTTTCTTTTTGTTGATGGTTTCCTTTGCCTTGCAGAAGCTATATAATCTGGTGCAGTCACATTAGTTCATTTTTTCTTTTGTTTCCTTTGCCTGAGTAGACATGGTGTTAAAGATGCTGCTAAGACTGATGTCAAAGAGTGTACTGTCTATATTTTCTTCCAAGAATTTTATGGTTTCAGGTCTTACATTCAAGTTTTAATCCACTTTGAGTTAATTTTTGTGTATGGTGTAAGATAATGGTCTACTTTCATTCTTTTGCACGTGGCTGTCCAGGTTCCCCAACTCCATTTATTGAAGTAACTTTCCTTTCTCCATTGTATGTTCTTGTCTCCTTCATCAAAGATTAGCTGTGCATAGATGTGTGGTTTTATTCCTGAGCTTGCAATTCTATTCCATTGAACTGTTTGTCTGTTTTTGTGCCAGTAACACGCTGTTTTGATTACTGTAGGATACTGTAGGATATTTTGAAATCAGGGATTGTGATGCATTCAGCTTTGTTCGTTTTCACAAGATCGCTTTGATTATTCAGGGTCTTTTCTTTCTCCATACAAATTTTAGGATTATTTGTTTTATTGCTGTGAAGAATGTCAGTGATTTTGACAACCAAAATTGAAGATAGGTGAATCCCATCTCTGAAATAACTCCTATTCCTTAGGGGTGACCTCTGTCTCAATTCAGATTCATGGGGCATTAGGGTTCAGAAACGCACAAGAACTGATTTTTGATTCCTCATCACATACCTTGTGATACTGCACAATCCATTTGTTTGGAGACCCAGTTTTTCACCTGTGAATGGGATCATTGTTTGAGTAGAGTCAGATGAGTTTGAAAGGTAGATGGTGATCATGTTTTGAGGGAACCTCAAAGCCGATACGTGAGGTATTTTCTATAACAGATCAAGAGCAACTTTGGTTGTTATTCAGTGTATCGTGAAGGCTATGGCTTTCTCCATTGTACTTCAATCTTACCTCACTAAATATTATGGAACATAAACATAAGTTACAAGTAGAAATGTGTTATTTACCAAAAGCAACAAAGAAACTTATGAGTCAATGAATGAAAGTCAAGAAGAATATTGTCAGTGTTCCAGAAGATCCTGTGGTGTCCATCTTCAAAAAAATGATCCAACATCTCTTTATAATATGCCAACATTTTTAATAATGATTTTTTCAGAGAGCTGAAATTTACCTGTACACCACCTGACTTTCACTTCAAACACCAGTGTGCTCATTCAAACTGATGATATTTCTGGAGAAACTATACGAGGTATCATCTGATTAGAAGAGAAGGGCTTAATTGTTCCAGAGAGGCTTTGTGGGAATTATTTTGGATTTGCCTATTCTAATCTGGAACGAATTTTCACCCATTTATTCAGTTATTTAAGACAGGTTCTGTGTTCTGATCTGAAGAGATGCAAACTCAGGGAATGTGGTAAACAAAAATAGAGAAAATGTACTACATGAAAGTGGACCAGAACACGAAGTTGAGTATAGGTGTGGACCTAAAACTGCCATATGGAGGTAGCATCATGTCACAGGGGTGAGAAAAGAAGGGCAATCAATAGTGGTATGGAGGGTAATTACCATAGTTTCATTACAGAGAATCCTTCACAATAACAACCCAGGCATTTTCCTGCACTTGAAACATGTTTAATTTCTCAATATTCTCAGCAGAGAGTTCCTCCAATTTATGCTCCAGATTTTATTGCAAAACCTGTTGGTATCATCAGATTTATATTTAAGATTCTACCTCACTAAATGGTTGGTTTGTTATCTCTTGTGTTTATCTCCTGGCTGCAACTTTGGGCTGTTCTCTGACTGTGCTGAGCTTGAAACAGCAACACTCTTGGAACAACCGTGATGAAGGCAGACATGCCAATCTGGATGAGATTCTCCACTGTGTAATCTTGGTTTTTTGAGGCTAGAGATTGAGGACAAAGAGATCCCAGTCATCAGAACAGACTGAACCCACCCCAGGATCCCTGCAAGTCCTTCCAGGGCCCCTGCCTTCTGTTGACAGGATTTGACCCTCTGTACCGAGCCCCACACTGAGAATCTCTCCTTACTCATCCTTCTTGAAGTCTGACTTGTCTTGTGATGTTCTGAGGGTATCAGCTATTCCTGAGAGCCAAAAATAGACAATGTGGGCAAGGAGACTTACAAATGTTTAGGTAACCTCTTTTCTGATCGCCAGTGAATCTCAAAAACCAGCTAATGCCAATCTCAATTCCTTGTGGTGAGCGTCTCCATTGTGTCATCCTGTGTCTAATTGGGAAAGAAAGATGAACATTTGGGGCTTCGTTTTGTCCCGAGAGTCAGAAATATTTTCGTTTCCTCCACCTCAGCCAGCTCTTTTTGTCTCTGGCTCAGGATTATACATTTCAAGTCATTTTCCTTTCTCCTCTCTATCAACCTATGCTTTTAGAAAATAAATGATGCAATATTTACTACACATCAGGAAATTTTTCTTGACTCAAGATTAACCACAGTTAACATAACTTCTACTTATCTCAGTTTTTAGTCTAGTTAGGGAGATTGATAAGAAACAAGCAGAAGAGATAAATGATAGAAAATATTTAGATGAATACATGGACAAAAATACAGATATCTATAGATATAAGATAGGCTCTGATAATTTGATAAAAACAATGCCAAGGAATTACAGGAGATGCTGGGAGGGAGGAAGGGAATACTAAGCATGAGTTCTTATGGGATGTGTTTTGGAGGATGACCTGATCTGGCTGATAACCTGGTGCTCGTGGAAACTGTGCAGAAATCCTGCCTTTCTTCTTTCCCCCCACATAATAACAATAGGTCCTGGTGGAGACAGGACATGTTCATAGTGGATGGATGTACTCAGAGAAGGATTTCTGGACATTCTTACACAGAAATTCCCTGGCAGATAACTTCAGAACTAATTCAGCCTTTTGAAATCTTGGATAGGATTCTACTTTTGAGTGGCAAGAGAATAAAGTTTCAGGTATGGTTAGAATTTTGTCAATGTCTCAACCAAGAGTGGCTGAGCCAACTCAACTTCAGTTTATGACTTCCAGTGATTCCCTAAACCTGCTTGTCCTGAAATTGAGAGACTATCTTTACTCTTCCAAAGGTGCCGTGATGAGTCTTAGCTACCCCTAAAAATCAGCACCATGGACAGAGATGAAATCTGGTCTTTACTCCCCTACTCAGCTGAAGGTTTTCCCCTTCATGCATTTCCTCTCATACTGACCACACACGTTTTGTCCTGATGCCACCACAGGACTTGGATGGGCTGAGTGGGAGGGTGCGCTCTACACTCATGAGAAAGAAGGAGGGAGCTTGTTAAAGGGGGGACCATCAGCCCGCATTCCCCAGGTGTGGACTGTGAGAGTTGAGGGCCCCTGAGGCCACATTGCATTCCTTCTACCTGTGAGGAGGAGACCACAGTGGAGAGAGGGCAAGGCTCCTCCATCTTACCTGTAATCGCAAGGGGCAGGAGGTCACTCTACTTTCATGAGCCATTCTTGTTGATGTGATATGCACACTGATATAACCCTGCAGTGTGGGAGTCCATAGATTTAATGAAGAAACCAGTTCTCTTGCTGGAGTGGTGCTGGGCCTCTGTTTCCCAGTGTTTAGAAAGCTTCTCTTTATACAGATGGTAGACATCAGTCTGCAGAGCCCTCCAACTCCAGATCATCACAGGGTACTCTGGGGTGACCATGGGTCTTGTGTAAGCCCAGATTGAGGGTTTGGGGGGACCCCTGGCAGGGAATCAGATGTGAAGTGTCAGGGGAGACCTTCTCAACCTCAGTTCCCCAGCTGTCACTCCATGGCCCCTCCAAGACTGGTCACCATCAACCCAGGCCCTCTGAGCTCCTCCCAGATGACCAAGGCTTCATTAGTCTAAAGCAGGACGTGAGCGGGAGGAGTTACCCACCTATTTTTGGTCCCATGGGCCCCAACACAGCCCTGGAAGTGAGTTTCCTGTGAGAGCGCATCCACACATAGAAGCTGCATGCCTGGTCTGGACCCCTTACTTCTGGGATCAGATCTCAGGGTGAACATATCTCTTCTCCCCCTAGAATTTATGCCCACCACTGATCCCTCTGAGTCCTGGGGTCTCAGCGACCAGGACCTGGGAGGGGAGGGGCCCCATCCCCTGCTTTTCCAAAAAAATTGCTGAAACAGAGAAGGGCAATGAGGGTTGGAGTCCTCGTACTGCCTCCCATGGTCCCCAGTGGTTCATATGGCTTATATAGGCCACAGAGCCAGGCAGGCAGACAGACACGCAGGATGTGACAAGGTCCAGACCACGTGTGACAAGTCACAGTTTCTTTATCAGAGGCTTCATGGGAAGAGGAACAGTCCCTCTGAGGGCCTTCTCTGGTCTCCCTGAAGGATGGTGACAAAGAGAAAGCAGGGTCCGTGGACATTCCAGACAATCAGAGTCTCACCAGACCCCACACTGTCTGCCTACACTTCATGCCAAACTCAATCCCAGAGAGTCACACTTGTCCTAGAAATTGAGGGTAGAGGATGTAGGGCAGGGCCTAGGAGCCAGCCCATTTCATTTCCAATTCTGACTCTGCCTTTTACTTACAGAACCTCTGTGATCTGAGGTAAATCACCTCCCTTTCCTGAGACTCCATAAATGCAAATTTTCACCTTCCTTCCACCACACCAGGCACTAACCAGTGTTTACTGAGCAGTTACCATGCCCAGGAATGAGATTCAGTGGTGAAGCTGACCAATTCCTTTCCTGGATTCATGGAGCTCTGAGTAGTGACAACAGACAATATAGATATTTAGACAATGGATCATTTGGCTTAGTTTTAGTAGGTTGTAGAGAAAAAGAAAAACTGAAAACGGACAGACACAATAACAGGTAGATGTCTAGAAACCTTAGTGATTGGGGTGTGGGGACCTTCTGGAGAGGGAGATACCAAGACACAGTAGGGTCAGCACAAGTGTGGTGAGGGGTCGGCATCCTCAACCAGGAAGAGGATGAACTAGTCTGAGAACTGTGAGGAATCACGTAACCCTGCACCTTGGTCACACAGGGTCTTTTGTACCCTGCAAGTTTCTTGGATTTTATCTTTCAGGTAACAGGAAAATTATCAGTAAAGGAACATGTGAACAGATTGCTGTTTTGAGAAAAGCACTATTCTGTAAGGGCTGTTCTGCAGGAGGACTGTATAGATCATACCCAGTGATAAAAGTGTATAATTAATCTAGTGATGAGTCAATCAGTATTCTAAGTGTTTTACAAGGATTTCTTATGTAATTCTCACACAAACTCTGCAACAGAAATACATTCACAGTTAAGTAGGATGAGGTAGGAAGAATTCTTATCATTATTAAGATCTGCGAGATTTGAAAAGGAATGTGCTACGTTCAAATTGGCTCAGGGAGCTGCCCATGAGAAGCCACAAATGTGGTAAATATTCAAGCTGTGTGTGTGTCTGGGGAGGGGAGGTGGCCAACTGGGATGAGTTTAGTTTGTAGGGAGGAGCCTGCTTTACTGGAGCTGGAGAGTTTAGTTCAGGCTGACCATCAACCTCATGGATTGTCATGTGCAGATGGCTGGAATATACTTGAAGGAAGGAGTAGGCCTGTGGAAGAGTTTTGTGTAGGTTAGGTCAGTCACAGGTAAGTTTGGGGCCTTGAGAATAAAATACTTCATCAGGGAGTGAGGGCCTGGGGTTGGGGGCAGGAAGGAGGCTGATGGGGTGGCACCAAAAAGACATCTTGAATTTTCAACTTAGCTTGACTATGGTGATAGACCAAGGTCATGGAAAGAAGGACTCAGTGGCAGAACTGTTGAATTTGTTTATTTTATGTGAGGTAGAAGACAGTGAAGAATTGAGGACTATTCCACTCTCTGTCTTGGTTGGCTAGAGGAACCAATGGGGCTATCACAGGATGGATGACCCCAAGAGGAGAAGGAGGCTTGGGGAGATGTTTATAATACTGTCAACTGACTCACAGTGGGAACCACCACCTCCCTCCTGGCCTGGGTCTGTGGTTTTGTTTCTCCCAAGCATTTCCTCTCTCAGACTTTCTTGTTTCTATAAGCAGCAGCACCTTCTTTTCATCACTCCCCATCAAAACCTCTGAGTCATTTCTGTCTCCTTACCAGCTATTGTCCTCCAGACAACAGCTCTTCATCTGATTCTGTGGATTCTGCCTCCACGCTTTGGGAAATGCACTAGCTGGAGACAATTCACAGGTTTTATTTGTTGTTTTTCCATAATCAGTTGATGGACCTTAGGGCTGTTGTCACTTTTTGTCTATTGTAAACAATTCTTCTATGAACACACTTGCATAAGTGTTTGTTCGAATATCTGTTTGCAATTATTTTTCTTTTCTTTTTTTTATTGTGGTAAGAGCACTTAACATGAGATCTACCTTCTTTACAAATTTTCATGCACAGTACGGTATTCTTAAATATAGGCACATAGTTGTATGGCAGATCTCTATAATTTATTAGTCTTGCATAACTGAAACTTACACCTGGAGGGAGAATTTATAGATCATATGGTAATTTTGGGTTACTTTGTGAGGAACTGCCAAACTGCTTTCCACAGTTGTTGAACCATTTCACATACCCACCAGCTGTGCATGTGGGTTCAGATTCCCCACTTCCCCCTCAACACTTGTTATTTCTTCTCAAATTATGGCCAGCCCAGTGGATGTGAAGTAGTATCTCATTGTGGTTTTGTTTGCATTTCCCTAATGACTAATGGGGTACCACCTTTCATAAGTTTGCTGTCCACTTGTATGTCTTTATTGTAAAAGTGTCTATTCAAGCCATTGGACTATTTTCCTATCGAGTTATTTTTTATTGTTGAGTTCAATGAATTCTTTATGTATTGTGGACACTAGACCCTTATTAGATATATGATTTGCAAATATTTTTTCCTACTTTTTAAGTTTTCTTTTACATGTTTGATCATGTTTTTTAATGCATGTATGTATGAAACTTTGATGAAGTTCTATTCATGTATTTTTTTTTCATTTTCATCTTGTCCTTTTAGTGTCATTTCTAAAAACTATTGTCAAGTCTAAGTTTATGAAGATTTACTCTACATTTTCCTCACAGTGGCACCCTGAAGTTCTCCGTGAAGGGAGTATACACACCAGAGAAACTGGAAAATGCCTTGAATCAGTGTTTTAAATATGAGTTTTTCATGGGCACTATGAACTGTTCTATGATTTCAAACAGGAATGTCTTGATTCCAACTGACGATATTTCTGAAGAAAGCGCATCTATTGAAAAGTGAAGGGCTTGTGGAGTACAGAGAGAGTTTTAGCACATCATTTTGGATTTACCTCTTTCAGGCTGGATCTTTGTTATTACGATTTATTGGTTGTTAAAACAGATTGCATGGTCTGAAAGGGAAAATAGAGACTCCTTAATATACATCAAGGCCTGTGGATGTTAGAAAAAAGAGAAAATTGTTTTATATGAAAGTGTACCAGAGCATGAAAGTGTAAGGAGGTGTGGTCCCAAATCTGCCATGTGGGATATATGCTGACTTCACAGAAATGGGGAAATATAGGAGCCAGTCAAGATACTCAACAGTGGTCAAAAAGGAAATTTCCACAGTTTAATGGCAGAAGAGTTCAGGCATTGGTGCTGCATGTGAACAATGATTCCTCCACCTCGCAGTGACCAGCAGACAGTTCACACACTGTATTCCCCAAATGCTCTTCCAGAACCTCCTGGTCACACAGGATTTATTTCCAAGGCTCTACCTCTCTGAGTGTGGCATTGTTCTCTCTTGTGTTTTTCTCCTGGCTGCATCAGGGTCTTCTTGGGCTGTGTCGAGCCTGAAATCGCAGAATCCCAAGGACAATCAGGATGAAACCAGCCATGTACATCAGGATGAAACTATCCACTGTGTAATTTTGGGGGTGTGGACAAAGAGGGCACAGAAATTAGGGCAGAGCAAAATCACCCCAGGATCCCTGTATGTCCACCAGGCACCTGGGTCCTCTTGACAGGACATGATCCTCTGCAGCCAACCCCATAACTGAAAATTTCTCATGCTCACCACTCTTGGAGTCTGGCTTGTTTTGTGATGGGCTGATGGATTCAGCTCCACGTGAGAACCAAAAATTAGATATGCACGAGGAATTGATGAGACTCAAGCCTGTGGCTTCATATCCCCCTTGTTTCTCATAACATGACTGTTATGCAGTCCCTTAACGAACACTTCCTCTGCTGTAGAAGGATTCCCTCTATTCTCCTTGGATTCTTTCAGTCTCCACTCGTTTTCTGAATTTGTACTTTGCTTCTGAGTCACTTTGAAACATAGTTTGTACGTGACCCAAGAGCTCAGGATTGATGAGAAAAATGGTCTAATTCAGAAATAATTGAGTTCTGGTAGGCTCTCTGTTCATTCTGGGACAAGAACTATCTAAGTTAACTCTTAGAGATATGAGAGCTTCTATTTATTAAACAACTGAAGATGAAGGATATATGGATGAGGGGTTGGTTATATATATATGATAGAAAGAGAGGAAATTTAATCCATACAGTGTAAGTTGGGTTAACTATATGTAATAAAATAGGTAAGAAGGAAGCAAGTCTGTTTTGAACAGTGTCACAGTGAATGTCACACTTGAAGTTGACATTTAAGCTGACTCCTGAATAAGTAATGAGCCTGAGAGGAGCCACCTGAAGACCCAGACCAGGCGCATCACAGGCTGCAGGAAGAGCAGGTCCCTAGAAAGATCTCAGTCTGTTCTTCAATAAGGAATAAAGTCATGTCTGTGGGATGTAGGGAGAGTCCAAAGGAGAAGGAAGAGCTGAGATTCAGGGGCTTGGTGCATTCAAGACAGGCTAGAAAGACAGGACAGAGAAGGGAGGCTCCATCACCACCACCACCACCACCACCATCATCATCATCATCATCATCATCATCACAACCATCATCATCATCATCATCCTGTCTCTCTCTCTCTTTCTGTCTCTCTTTCTCTCTCTTTGGAAGAACTTTGGAAATCACTATAAGATTCCAAGGAGAGAAGACAAGTCAGTTAATTTTATATTTGAAATATTTCATGCTAAAATGCTGGGTGAGAAAGTGGATTGAAGGAATTTGTGAACTTCCCAGCTTGTTTGAAATTAAAATCGTGTAATGGTTAATGGCTCTCAATAGACACTAGATAAATAGATGAGAACAAAGATAACCTCTATCCTTTCCATATCCTATATCTAGAACCAAAGAAGTCCACCATTCTGGTCTTTAAAGCCTTAGGGAATAGAGAAAATCAGTGGTATTATAAAATCGGGTAAGCACAAAAAATACGTAATCTTGGGAATCTATTTTAACCAGTTTTAACATAAAAAAAGATTAAAAAAAACAAATTGTAGATCAATTCTAAGTATACAGCTCCAGGTAAAAATTCTAAATATGTTTATACAAGTCAGAAAGTATGAATGAATAATAAACATCATACAGTGGGGTTAATGTCCAAGTGTTTGATACTAAGAAGTCTTTTAAATGTATCTCACCATGGTGAAAATTAAAGAGGAAAAATTCAGGAGTTGTACAAAAATCCAGAAAAAAATTCCTAATTTCTATTAAGAAAATAATATTTTTTTCCTAACAAAACTTGAATGTAACAGAAAAATGGACTGACATGAGTAGGCCAATAGGATTATACATTAAAAAAATATAGATTTTGATGTGCTTGCCTTAAAATAATTTGGGCTAAAAATGAAGATGTTTTTGAAGTGACACCCAGGTCCATCTTAATATTTTACTTTGTCATCATTATCATATAGTATTTGATGCAAATAAAATCAATACAGAATGTGGAAATAAAGAAGTGAAATTTTAATTTCCTTGAGGTTGATATAAAGATTATCAGTAAATCAGAGGTCAATTGAAAAACAATTGAAAGGTGGATAATCTGTAGTATGTTAATAGGATATAAACTTAATATAACCAAACCAGTGTCATTGCTATCTATATTAACCAATATTTAGAAATTATAAAGAAATCAAAGATTTTCCTTATAATTTAATAAAGTAGTTGAATAATTCTTACGCTGTGAGTATAGACATTTTATGAATAAAACTTCAATATGCCTCTGGTCATTAGTAAACCTCCTTTTAAAGCATATTTTATAACAAAACTTCATATTAATAAGAAATTATTCTCCATAATGATTGTATAAATTTAATCTAATCCCAATGGAAATAGAAATAGAGTTCCAATTTTTCATCCATTATTCTTTATAATTTAAATTTGTAAATTTACATATGCAAGTATTGCTATAAAATTTCTCAGAAAGAGAGCAATCATAGAGACGTGTGCACAGGAAATGCAGAGTAGACGTGAACTTCACACAGACACGTTGTGCAGTAACCCACTAAACAATTTCAGTGAGGCGCGCATGGTCCCTCCTTAGTCTCAGGTGTGCACTGAGTGGCTGGAGGCCTCCAGGTGAGCACGGGAGGGCCATGCAGAGCGGTACCCATGGGCGAGGTGCTTCACTTTATAGGAGAGTGTCTGGTGTGGGCTCCACCTGCACCCACAGCGGATCCCACCTTGGCCCGAGCAGCCTTCTGTCCTGGTCTGAGAGGGTTCAGGGACCCCCGCACATGTGTGAGTGAGGGACCCCATCTAAAGGTCTCTTAGAAATGAGAAACACGACCTGCCAAGGGAGTGTCTGTCTGTCCTCTCTCCAGCTTTCCCAGCCTGTCCTCCTCCATCAGTCCAGCATCTTCCCTGGATTCCAAGTCAGGCCTGGACACCAAAGGCTGCAAACCCGCCCCTCTTCTTCTACTCCATACGTCCTCCAAAACTGGTCAGGGTCCTGCGAGCAAGGTGATCCGACAAGGGGGAGTGGCTTTCAGTAGAAATTCTCACAAATTTTCTGTGGGACAAGGAGGGTTGAGACGCTAAGTCAATGCGGATTCCAAATCTTTGCAGTCTCCACAATATTGTGGCTTCCTCTTGCTAAGCTGAGACTCCAGGCCTGATGGACAAAAATCACATGCACCTGTCCCCTGTCTCCCTCAGCTTTTTAATCCCGACAAGGTCAGTCTTACTTGGAGCAGCAGGACAGGCCCAGAGAGGGCTGGACCAGGAGCAGGGATATGATGGGCCACTTCCCAGATCCTCCAGAAGGTCGGAAATGAAAAGGTCTCTGGAGGTAACGACCAGGCAGCTCCCACTTATTCAGAGAGGGAAAGGCATTCTCAGAAGTTCAACCTCCTGGGACCGCTGATCTCACACAGACTCAGCTCCACCTCCCGGTTGCCTCTGGGGGTTCTCCACCTGCTCCTGGCTCCTGGTGTTTAGAGAAGCTGTGATTCTGACACCAGGAAGTCAGTGGGTGGAGGCCTCTGTCTTGAACTTCAGTCTAATCTCATTTCCTCCAATAAATGAGAAACTAGAAATCTCAAATCCTCCTCATTTCACTGAGTCTCATTCTATCCCTCTCTCTTCCTTGTCCCTGTCAGAGACTGCAAGGATGGGGTGACCCAGGGGTGGGAGGTTCCCACCTATTTCCACCCTCTGATGGGCTGACTCTTGTCTATAGAACATCCCCTGTGCTCCCATTATTTCCACCATGTCTCAGACTTTCCTGTGGACGGGGCCCAGAGAAGACCTTTTGAACTCAGAGAAGACGTGGTCAGGTGTTCCCACCTGAGACCAGGAGCTCTGGGACCAGGGACCTTTTGAAAATCACCATATCTAGGAACAATGAGACCACCACTGTGGATTACATCACATATATCATAAACTAAGTTTGGGGGAGGTGAGGGCGTGGGGCTGTTGCTCCCCAATTCAGCCTGACTGACCCTCCTCCAGCTTGGGCCCCAACATCTCCCTCTGCCATGACTGCCCCACCCATCATCTGCCAGACTCAGAGCCCCTGTAGCCCTGTGGTCCTGGCCCTTCTGCCCAACTTCTGGGTCCCCTGGGTGACAAGCCTGTCCTTGAGTATCTGAGGGGGCATCACATCCTCTGGGAGACTCTCAGAACTTCCCTGGGTGGTCTGTGCTCCCTCTGAGCAAAGGGGCTTCAGTGACTCACTAGTTGTTGAGATGGGCCCTGTTGGGGGGAGGCTGGAGTCCTCAGAGTGTCCTGGGTCTTAGGACAGGAAGGGGGTGAGGGGCTGGGGCTGACCCTGGAGTCTCCACCTCACTCAATCTCTTCTCCTACATCTGCACTGTGGCTGCCACAAGATCGTCTTTCTGCACACCCGGCACCATCTAGATCCAGGTGAGGGGGAAGAGGGTGGGAAGGGGTTGGAGGTCCTCCGATGGGGCAGATCCCCTTCTAGATGACCCTCCTTCACTCCCATCCCAGCCCAGATATCTCTTGAGGAAGGGCCCCAAATAGATCATAGGGGCAGGAGACATGCCTGGGGCCCCTTACCTGAGACCAGGAGCTCCAGGGGGTCAATGGGGAGTGACAAGATGTAGGGGGAGGTGCTTTCTGAACTGTAGCACCTGTAGGTCCCCTCGTAGTCTGAGGTCACAGGACTGATGATGAAGTTGGCCTGAAAAGGTGAAGCTGCATCCTGCAGATGAAAGTGTTGGGAGGAGCAAGTGTCTGCTCCTTGGACAGAGGGAAGGTATCCAACCAGATTTCAGAGCGACACTGCAGGGTCACCTTCTCTCCTTCAGACACTGAGGCCCCCAGCTGCGCAGAGAGGGAGTGTTTCTCACACATTCCTGGGGGAGAGAAAGGTTGTGATTTGTAGACAGCAGCGACCTCCCCACAGGCCCTTGACCCTGATCTGAGGGACCACTGTCCTCTGTCCAGGTACTCTGTCTGTGACCCCCTCTTGGCTCCTCTAAGTCCCTCTCAGTGAACATCTTTAATCTCCTTGCCTCTCACTCCCCCTTCCTCTTTCCCTCTCTCTCAACCACTGCCCCATCTCAGCCTCTGCTCCAGGACCCTCTCCTTGGACCAAATCATCACCAGGGGTGACCATGGGCCCAGTGCCCTGAGCAGACAATCAGGACATGAGGCTCCTCATACACTATCAGGATATCCAGGGGGGCGCCTGGGGCCAACCATGCATAGCAGAGGTTGTGTCTACCATAGCATCTGTACTGGCCCCCATGGGTGTGGTTCACATGGCCCAAGGGGAGGTCAGGGCTGTGTTGCTCTTGAAGACACTGGTGGGTGTGATCCCCTCGTCCATGGTCAGAGCGAATCTGTCAAAGCCGGCCTCTGAGTGACACTGGAGGGTCAGGTTGTCTCCAGAAAGCACCAGCGAGCCAGGTTGGGCTGAGGAGGAGGGCTCCCTGTACACGCCTGGAGAGAAGGGATAGTGGCATCGAAGGGGAGGTACACTCCACATTGCCCTCTGGGGCCTGCAGTGACAGTTCTCACTGGTCCCTCCCCAAACATCCTGCTCTGTGGTTCAGGCCCCAGGAGGCCATGTCACCATCTCCCATCACCCACAGGGCTTTACTGGGCACACAGCTCAGGTAAGTCATTTTGGGGTCCCAGGAAAGAGATGGTCAGGTTGTCCCTCACCTGTGACCTCAAGAGGCAGAGGGTCGCTGGGGTGTGACCACACATACGGGTAGGCTCTGGAGGAACCATAGCATCTGTAGGTCCCCCAATGGGAGGTGTTCATGGGCCCACAGGGAAGAGAGCCTATCCTCTTCCACGATAGGCCCTTGATTCCATGTGTCTGGGATGGTCAGCTCCTCCCTCCTTCATCAGATGGAAAGTGTCCAATGTGGACTCTGAGCTACAGGAGAGGGACATGTTCCCTCCTGATGCCACCACAGATCCTGGATGGGATGAGAGAGATGGTGCACTGTACACTCCTGAGGGAGAAGGAGGGAGCAGTGTTAAAGGGGGGACCATCAGTCCACATACCCCAGGTGTGGACTGTGAGGG